TTTTTTTTTTTTTTTTTTTTGTTCCTTTTCTTTTGAGAATGAGTAGTGAAATGAAGTCCTCCATTGCTTTGCTGCAAGAGAGATTTAGACGACTGCAGAAAGCTAAGGAGTTGAGAGAGCGGAAAGAGGTTCAAAACCTGTCGTCTGAGTCGATACGAGCCAATTCAGCTGCGTTGTCTGAGCAAACAGGCTTATTTTTCCATTCTGAACTAGTTCTTCCACCTAAGTCACCATTCCAAGGCTCTTCATACCTTCAACCAAGCTTGGAAAGCAGAAAATCTCATCTTCAAATCACAGATGATCTTAGTTTATCAGACATGGGGTCAAGAGAAACAGTGATGAACAGAACAAACTGTGTTGATGATTTAAATATTGACACCTCTCTTCATCTGTGAAACATTATAACGTTAGTTTATTGTTTGTTGGTGCTTGTAATCCTTCACCTTCTATATGGTGTTGAAAGAATGAGGGAACAAAAATGAGTTATGCTTCACTAATTTCTATCACTGCTATGATCATCATCGTTTTGGTGCAATCTAGAGAGGCTGTCATCAAGTCTCTCTGATAATATATTATCATTTTCTACACTACCAGACTCCCCATTACTGCTCCATTTCTTCTCCATGACTTTAGGGACAAGATGAGCCACCTCACCTTTATCGTCATTCACCCGTTCAAACCGAACAGCACTAACCTTTCTAGCATTTCCTGCTAATATCTGCACAAAGGTCCAACATATCAACCCTACTACTCCGAAATTAAAGAAACCGAACGAGACAGTGTAAGAATGCTGAAAAAGAAGTACAATTAACAGCCAGAGTAGATACGGACCAAAGAGTAGTCATTAATAATCAATGTTAAACAGCCTATAATCAGCTTAATACTAAAATCCGAATATGAAAGTTAAGGAATCGTATCATTGACTAAAAGGAAGCGACGAAAACGGTATCATATGCAGATGAACTATGAAAGTGGCAGATGATAAAATCGCAAAAATTGAGAAATGATAGGCCGAACGATTTTCCGAAGCTTTTTGGTACTTCCCAACAAAGTATACCAAATGAAATTGTAGGCAATACAGAAATAAAATTATACCTCGATATTGAAGATTAGGCGTTTTTGCTTCTGATTTTTGTTTTCGGAATTTGACTCTTCTGCTTCTTCGTCTTCCTTTTCAAGGACCACTTTAACGCTTTCACCCGTCCTTGGGATATATCCAAAAGCCTCACAAACAAAACCCGACACCGTTTCGTATTGATGACCCTAAAGTGGCAAGAAGTAATATGTAAGAATTTAGTAATAAGCATTCAAAATACAATTTAAAACGTATACGAACAAGCGTAGGTACATTTGTACAAAACGTATGCTTATTTTGGGTCCTTTGTAAGGAAAGAAACCAAAGAATAATTCTGGACAAGAAACAATCTTTTGATGTTTTCTTTTATCTTGTTATTTATTTTGCTGTCTTGGTGTAAAGGTTCTAACCTTCTCGCTTCATATAGTTACGATCGATCATTTTGACTAATCGGGAAAATTTTTGGAACTCTCATGATTCATCCCTTTTGTAAATTTCATACATCAATGAAAACGTATCTCAGAAAAAAACCGAACAGAAATAAGGGGTTGAGGGTAGAGGCATTTTGATTTAATAAAAGGTAAACTACCTCTGGCATTTTGATATTTAGATCTTCAGAGAGCTGATCGATTGCGGTATTAGCATCGACATCATATACTCCATCGGCTCGCATCACAATGTAGCCAGTTTTCTTCTGGATCTCCTCCTTTAGTTTTCGAAAATGAAAAACAAAAGAAAAATCATTAAAAACATAATAGCATGAGTGCATGACAAACAATATGGCAGTGCTTATACTTTTTAGTTTAAATAAGAATATAATAGCACCTAATAATATGAACACAGGTGTTTTCTATAGCCAAGAATCACTTGTGAGAATCAAAAGGCACATTCGAGAAAATAAAGTGACGGTGTGCATTCGGTGTAAAGAAAAACGACAGCGACATTTACCTTTGAATCATTTTCGTCAAAGATTTCACCTACAATTTCCTCAACCACATCTTCCAGTGTTACAATCTGATTCCATTTGAAAAGTAAAAGATCAGATATTCACTAAAAAGAGACGATTTTACGAGTTACAGTAGAGTATTGAGACTATGCAACTCTGAACTACCCATTTTCTTTTTCCTTTTGGAATATAAGGAAAAACAGTACAAATCAATTCAACAAACAAGCAAACTGCACTGAAAGAACAAGGTCCATTTATAAGAGAAACTACTCCGTTATTGAAAAAATATCATTAGAAGCTCCGGAAAAACAATTCAAATCCCTTAAACAACTTTCTCCACCGTCGCCCCCCCTGTAACGCCCCAGATCCACCGCTAACAGATATTGTCCTCTTTGGCTTTCCCTCAAGGCTTTAAAATGCGTATGTTAGGGGAAGGTTTCCACATCCTTAATATAAGGGTGATTTGTTCTCCTCCCCAACCAATGTGGGACATCACAATCTACCCTCCTTCGGGCCCAGCGTCCTCGCTGGCACTCGTTCCTTTCTCTAATCGATGTGGGACCACCACCAAATCCACCCCCTTTGGGGCCAGCGTCCTTACTGGCACACCGCCTCATGTCTACCCCCTTCAGGGAACAACGAGAAGGTTGGGACATCGTCCAATGTCTGACTCTGATACCATTTGTAACGGCCCAGATCCACCGCTAGCAGATATTGTCCTCTTTGGCTTTCCCTCAAGGCTTTAAAATGCGTTTGTTAGGGGAAGGTTGCCACACCCTCATAAAGGGTGATTTGTTCTCCTCCCCAGCCAACGTGGGACATCACACTCCTCCTCCTCCAAGTCTTTTCTTTTTTCCCCTTTATCTTCCTTTTCTTTCTATATTCTCTTTCCTTCCCAAAAATTCAAGTATCCCACTCATACAAAAGCTAGCCTCAAGACCCAAATTAGAAACTCCACATAAGTGCCTGCCATTGACAATGTCTGATTGCATTTAACTTGGTAGTTCATGAAATCCGAACGCATGAGGATACAGGCCACAGATCGATATTTCCTTGTGTTAACTTTTGCCTTACTAGCTGTTCTCCATAGCAATAAGATTTTAATTGTGAGAATTAATGTTATGCAGTGGAAAAGGACTCCTGACTACTGCTTCTAGGAGAAAATATATGAGTTAAAAATGAAAAGTGGGATTCCTTAAATTTCTGTATGCGATCTTGGTTTAAAATAGCATAAATCATTGCATAAGATAAAAACAAAGATATGGTGAGTACACATACTCCAACTGTGCCGCCATATTCGTTAAGCACAACAGCCATGTGAACTTTCCGGATACGAAACTCTCGGAGAAGATTCCAGACTGACATTGAATCTGGAAAACACATAAACAACTTTGACATGATGATAATTAGGAAGACTATGGAATGACAACCGGAAAATGAAAGCAAAAAATGTATGCAGTACAATCTGAAGTTCCCAACTTGTGGTTAAACTCGAGTATAATTTTCATGCAGACTAAAACCTTCGCCTAGCACACACACAATTTACCAATGCTGTGTAACTCGTAAGTTTATATATATGAATGCATGCATGTACATTATATACACACATAGGTATATATATAGATATAGATATATATAATCCAGGCTACAATGTCTTATTCTATGCAGGCCGATGGCTGTAAATTAATTTTCTTTAAAAAAAACTTTATAAAAGTTCAAAATCATTACATTTATATTTCAATGTCTTAGTGGTCCTGTGATGTCCCGCATTGGTTGGGGAGGAGAATAAACCACCATTTATAAGGGTGTGGAAACCTTCCTCTAGTAGACGCGTTTTAAAGTCTTAAGGGGAAGCCCGAAAGGGAAAGCCCAAAGAGGACAATATCTGCTAGCGGTGGATCTGGGTCGTTACAAATGGTATCAGAGCCAGACACCAGATGATGTGCTAGCCTTCTCGCTGTTTCCTGAAGGGGGGTAGACATGATGCGGTATGCCAGTAAGGATGCTGGGACCCAAAGGGGGGTGGATTTGGGGGCGGTCCCATATCGATTGGAGGAAGGAAAGAGGGCCAGCGAGGACGCTGAGCCCCGAAGGGGGGTGGATTGTGATGTCCCACATTGGTTGGGTAGGAGAACAAACCACCATTTACAAGGGTGTGGAAACCTTCCCCTAGCGGACACGTTTTAAAGCCTTGAGGGGAAGCCCGAAAGGGAAAGCCCAAAGAGAACAATATCTGCTAGCGGTGGATTTGGGTCGTTACAGGTCCTATCAAGTTACTGATCATGAATGGATCAATTATTATCTTCCAGCATTTGAATGACAAAATTCGAAATATCAAGAAGAAAAAGTTCAGATCATTACATAGTTTTAATTTTAAAATGTTATAAAAGGCCACCACATCCAGCAACCTAACATAATACCTACAGGAACTAAGCAAAACTTTCCAGCCTATAAAATTTAGCAGGGACAATTTACACAACAGTAGTTGGGTGTTAGGGTGCCAGCATTGGAATGTTTAAGCCTAGGAATGTGAAGTGAGGGAATCAGATATCTGCATTTAGAATGCAAAAATGAGTTGAGGTTCCATCAGTATACATATAAGAAAGAAGTATTGAGCTTGTTGGAAAGATCAGTGGAATTTGTTGCCTGTAAATAAGCAATAAAGACCATCTATATGTACTTACATCAGCTTATCAATTTTTACCAAAAAGTGACATTTGAGTTAAGAATTACCAGGCACGAAGTAAGCAGGTTTGTGGGCCATATCCCCGGCAGTAGTGCTCTCTAGTACTTCACCCTTCAAAACCAAAAGAGTTTATAATCCTGCACTGTGAATTAACAACATGCAATTGTATCGATGACAGATCGGGTAAGTGGGAGAAATTACTCAACCTTCTGTACAAAATCCAGCAAATCCATTGCATATGCAATCCCAACAATGTTATCTATGCGCTGCTCAAAAACAGGTACCCTAGAATGATAATCAAATAGTTATGAATTAGAATAGCTAAAAAGAGGTCTAGTTTATTTGAAAATAAAAGAAATAAAGGTTCACAACTACTTTGGGAGACATAAGAAACCATTAAATAATAGAGATCAGTTTTTTTATCCTCTGCTTTTTTACCGTTAGCGTTCGGTATGGTCCACAAGAAGTAAAAAATTAAAATACATGTGTGTGTGTGTACTCAAACCACAATTTGTGGGAAAAGGCCATCGGAGACTCGGCCCCAAAAATTGAATATACCTTGAGTACTGATGAGTCACCCACAATTTGTGGAAGTCAACGAGTGTGGCACTTCCATCTATTGCAACCACGTCGATAAGAGGTGTCATCACCTCTCTAACATGTGTATCTTTTATCTCAAGAACATTCTCAATCATATCCTGTAGTGAACCATCATAAAACAAACATTGTACACAGATAACTCAAAAGAAAAAAAGTTAAGTACAGCTCGAAGGCATATCCAGACACTAGGTAAGTCACAGGTGTACACGAGGCAAGGAAAACTATCCCAGATACCACACAATAGGGACGACATGGCATGACGAATGTTCACATTGCATTCAACCTAATTAAAATGACCTTAGCATAGTCAAGCTAAGGAACAATCAAGATGAAGTTGTCTAACTAAAATACCAGTTTTTTTCTTTTTCGAACAAGAGAAGAGGCAAATCTTTTCATTTCTTCTGACTAAACTACGAGTTCCTGACATCTGATTGCTCTTATGCATCCACAAAACAAAATTTTATAGTTCACGCAGACTAAGTGCTAATGCAATATCTTCCCGTAGTTTCTCTCTTGCACGTCCGAAAAATTTAGAGAGAAAAAAATATGTTGGGGGACACATGAAACCACAACCAGCGTCATCACATTCAATTCAACTTTAGATGTTTATTAGTTACGAAATTAGAGTCCAAGATACGAAAATAAAGTCATTGATACTCTTGAAATAGTTTGTGTTATGACAAGAGGAGAAAGAAAGAGTTAATCTTGCAGTATAATGTATCAAAGACCGTCTAGATGTCGAGATTCACACATGCTGTCAATAAGAAACTGTATCCATGATTTACTTCAAGATTCAAGCTCAAGTGCTATACTAAGAGAAGAATGTCCTAGAAAGCCTGTCCATTACCTGCTCTTCCTCCTCTATGGCTCCACTCAGTTCTGCCCCTCGCAACATCAATTTTAGTTCCTCCTCAGTTACAAATGGTTCACTAACATATTAAGACAGGTGAGAGTAACGCTAAAATTAAGCATTTTCCAATAAAACTACAGCCTTAGATGGAACAGTGAGCAGAAGCTTCCAAGAAATGGAAACATAGATATCATGAAACTTACCTACTCCCTTTCATACCAATTATTTTAAGCATCCCCATTGATAGATAGGTGACAATTCTTCCAACTGGGTAAAGTATAATCGAAAGCCATGCCACTGGCCTGACCTACAGGCAATAAAATCAATGCAGTTAATAGAAAACCATGTCGTAATTTGTGAGCATCAATAAACATTGAAACAATAAAACCTCTAATAGAGGGCTTAGTGATAGAACAAGCATATGTAACATACCACAATTCTAGCAACCTCGGTAGCATTATGCACGGCAATACTTTTTGGAGTGAGTTCAGTGAGAAGCAAAATGGCAACCTGGCAACATTAAGGAGGTAAAATTGGAGTGGATTTCTAATGAACCTTTTTTTTTGGGGGGGGGGGGGTAAGAAACCACATTCATGAAATATAAAAAAATGTCTAAGGGCAGACAAAAAAGATAGCCCACAAAAGATGTCTCAAAACTAACTACAAGAAATGACTCTAATCTAAAAAAATGAGACCAAACAGATAATGACAGAAAGCCCAAAGGACGAATGCCCATAAAGATGCATTAAACTTAGCAACCTCCCAAACCTCCTCCCAAGATTTGTTTAACCCCTCTAAAAATTCTACTATTCCTCTAGCCAAATACCCATAGAGCAGCTATGAACCGCATGGCACAAAACTCCACCCTTATCCTGAAAGGGAGAGTTTAGAAGCATCTCCTCAATCATAAAACAACAGTCTCTACTACAAGCAAAATTTTCAATTGTCTCACATGTACGTTGTGAGGGCTATATTATTGTGGTCGGTATGCTTAAGCTTGTCCTGATAAAGAATCAAAAGTAAGATAAAAGTTGCCCTTAATTCTCCACAAGTGCAGTCAATGATTCAGTTTAACTCATCACATAATTCGGGGAGATAGGAAGAGATAACATATTAATCTCACTCCTTGATGATAAGTAAGAGATCCAAATCTCCAATGAATTTGTGTAAAAAAGAATGCTTATTTAGGATAGTTTCTAAATTAATCAGACACCCAAAAATATAAAATGAAAAAGAAATATAGAAGATAAAGATGTAAATATCTAAAAACGATGCCCATGTCAATGTTAACAGTAGGACAAATGATAACTCGAATTTAAATAAAAATCTCCTACCCATTCAATATAAATGATAAATAAGAGAAATAAAGGGCTACACTTGAGAACCAATAGTGAACACTACTCAACATATAAATCAGAAATTAGTGTAAACAATTTTTTATTTCCTTTTGCTCTCTTTTGAGGATCTATTTGGCCTCGTAATCTGTTTTTAAAATGGATATTAAGAAACGTGTTCAGGTGGCTCATAATGTTAACAATATTTCACAACTATCTGTAGAATTGTGATAACAAACAAAAGTATCTTTAGTTACTCTAAAAAATAGGTTATTCGTAAGAACAAACGAAGAGAAAAATGAAGGAAAGAAACTAATCTTGGAAAACATATGCCCTAACAGGTTTTTCGCTGAGTTTTTCCTAAAAAATAGAAAACAGTCTTTTAGAAATCCAAACCATCCCTAACTTCTTCTAGTCCTTACCCTTTCAAATTGCCAATGACAGCTTTTTCGTTCAACGTCCTAGTATTTGTCAGTTGAAAGAACATTGATTTTACAAAGAACATAAAAAGGTAAGGCACCACCATTTTCAATATTCCCTTGAGTTAATACACCCCCATTAAGAAGTTGAAAGAGTTTGTTGAAATTCCCTTGTTCTATATTCCACTAGATTTCTTGCCAACAATATGATACATTTTTCTGAATAATCAAGTACATGACAGACATATATACATGTATGATACATATAGGTAGGTAGATGAGTGGGTATGTTTATCAGTAAATCAATTCCAGAATTTATACTTCTGAATTGTTCAAGATAGGGCATTTGTACATACAGTCATCACTCCAGTTGCTGCACTAACACCAGCTTCCCCAAATATTGCAGTTGCGGCCTCTGTGACTAACGCAGTTGCCCCAATATTTACCACACTAAGTAAATCAGCAGAATCTAAGATGAGAAAAAACAAGTTGATAAAAACTATAAAATTGGTTGGGACATAATAAAAGAGTATTTACGTTGTGCCAATAAGTATGGTCGTGAGAAATCTTGTAACGTCAGTACGAAGCATTTTGAAGACACCATCTTCAGGTTCCTTTTCAGCCAATTCACGTACCTATATGGAATTAAAATTTATAAACTGAAATAAAATGAGAGAGAGATAGATAGAGAAAAAAGGAGAAGCAAAAGAGAACCATTAACTTATCAATTTATTAAAATGAGTATAATTACAACAAGAAAATAAAAATACCCATTTATATTCTTAATTTGTTAAAGTGATAAACCATGTACATGATCCAGAGACAAAGAGAAAGGTTAACAAATACACTGAGGCAGAAGAAAGAACTGCTTTTATATGGACATAAAAAGCATTCATTAGCAGAATAATGTACAAAACCAAGAAAATAAGGCATCCCTCCAAATACAAAAACTAGGAAGATTGTACAAGGCTAGCCAATTGGTATTTGTGAAAAAAGGGAAACAATTGCGGTAATCAAATAACATTTCACTTGGTAGCTAGGACACAAAATAGATAAGTTTCATTTACATCTATACTCTCCAAAAAAATTGCAATAATCATGGTAATCATACATGGCATGCATGAACCAAGACAAGCTTAGCTTGTAATCACAAGCTCAAAGCAACATAAAGAATATAATCAATGTCGTCCTCTAGACGTCATTTAAGCACCTATAACTTGACATGCCTTGTTTTCTTTGCATCTTCTTTATAGCACAGCACGACTATTTGTCACTAATGAATCTAGCTTGCAAGCGACTCCTATTAGTTGAAACCTTTGGAGTATGATGAGTTTCTAAGGTAAAACATTTTTTTTACAATAGAATGAAATTTCAATGTCATGAACTGATTAAATGTTACAATATTCATAAAATGATTTTCTTAAAGTTCCCCGTCAAATCTCTAACAATATCAAAGGTCGAACTACACTTCTCATATATTTCTAGATTATATCAACATCTTTTGTGGCACAATATGCTTCAAGGTAAGATAATACTCTTTGAAGCAAGATATAAGGTATGCACTGCACAAGTCATCCACACAACTGTTGAATTTTATGTTCACTAATGTGCTTCGCACATTCGTAATAGGAGAATTTTTTTTTTTTATAAGAAGACAATGAGGAAGGTATAACTATAGGAAGTAAAAATATTAGACAGTTTACACCAAGATATAGCTTGGTAAACAACATTGTCGAAAAGTTTTGTGTAGCTCTATGTCTTTTCTGCAAATATTCTCTAATTTCTTTATTTCCAAATATTCCAAAAGAAACCATGATGAGATTTTTCCATAATAGGGCTTTTGCATTCTTGAAAGGGTGGTACATTAAGACCATATCCAAAAATTCCTTTACCTCCCTAGGAAATGTGAGATGTCATCCAAATATATTGAGAATTGTTGTCCAGAAATTCTGAGCATATGTGCATTGCATAAACAAGTAGTTTTGTGATTCGTTTTCACTATTAACTTGTATCACAATTTGGCAAACAGCTCGTTAATGTCTTTCTTCCTGAAATTCGCAATGATTTTTTAACAAGATACACTGATTAATGCACGGAAAGGTAATGAAATACTTATTTCAAAATTTCAATCTTCTTTAAGAATCAACCGCCCATCCACTCATAAATGTTTGTCAAAGATATCCCATCCCAACCAATCCGAGCATAATTTAGTGGATAAGACACCAACTACCATTTCAACAGTCGGTAGTTTGATCCTCCACCCACAATGGTTGAACTTTCGGAAAAAAAAAAAATAAGGAAAGACTTTCCATCCTAAATCAAAAGGAAGCCTATCATCTACAGATTGCAGCGATAAGGTGAAACTTGGCCCTCCCAATCCTAAACCCGTCTTAACAAGCCTCCTTTCCAAACCTCTATTTGCTAATCGAAGTAAACGAAGCATGAAGGCAATCAAATGCTGCTTAAACTCAATTCGCAGACAACCTTCGAGAACAAGAAGTTGATATGTATTATCAAGACATTATAATTCAAACTAATTTGTAAGTTTGGTTGAAGGAGTGCTTTCTAAGTAGTTCCCCAACATCGATATTAAAGCCAAGTTGAAAATGGCATTTAAAGGGGCCCAGAAGCAGATATATGTACATAGTTAAGGTTGCTTAGTGCTCTTAAGAAACATGCAACAAGTGTATGCAATTGATTGACAAAAGATACAATTGCATTTATAAATCAAATGGCTCAGTCCCAAAGAACGATAATAAATGAACTGCAATAAATATATTACCTTCCAAGGCCATAGTGTGGTTATTGAAGTCTCAGCCATAGAGAAAAACGCAGAGAGTCCTAAAAGCAAAGCCAAAATCAAACCCTGCTCCTTGAAAATCTTAAGGACCAACAACGCTTTTGGCCACGCATTTCTAAACGTCAATATCCCCTGCCCAACAACATCCCTGCCAAAACTAACCACACCCTCAGTTGCCAATACATTTTTACAGCCAACAACGAGCACACCATACACAATTGCAGTGAAAATAACCCCACGCTTAGCAATTTCTCTAACAAAATCTCGATTCGGCTCAGGAACACTTGAACAGTTCGAGTTCGCACTAACCCCACATCCCAAACGAGCTCCATTTGCAAACGCATCAGTTTCTTCATAAACTGTACACCAAATGCTTCCAGAACTACGAAATTGAACGCAATTCGACGAATAAAGACTAGGGTACCGATTATTACTCCGAAAAATCCTTACTGGTACAGCCTTATATCGATAGCAATGCAGAAGAGAAAAGGGTTTCGTGCGGATAGAGAAGGCGGGCGGACCCAAAATCGAAGACTGGAGCGCCATGAACTAAACTTCCAGTGACCCAGAACTCAAAATTCAATGCAGCATGCAAATGGGATCGAAACAATTGCGACAAGCGACCTTATAGATGCCCTGTGGAAGACATTGATCAATTCAAATTTAACCCAAAAGGGGGATTTAGCCGCACCTTTCTTCTTTTGCCGGAACAGGGCAGCGAAAGGAGAAGAGAAAGATTAGGTAGAGATGGGTAGAAGAAGAATCGATTCTAAGCAGAACCCATGGCTGAACTTGGAGGTGGAAGTAGCCTTAGAGGCATATGAAGGAGGTTGGGTTTCTTCACGAACATGTCAATGGGGGCAAGCCAGATAAATTGAGAATAAGTTAGATGCCCTGAAGAAGATGGCTCTAATGAACAGATGATTTTGTTGTGCATTTCTGGTTTGGCATTTTATATTTTTTTTGTTTTGCAAATTTTTTCACGGTTTGTATTTTGGTATGTCAATTAAATTTGTTAGTAGTTGAATTTACGTGAAAAGGTGTACTCGATGAAATTCGTATGTTCGGCTAGGACGGAGGTATTCTATATCTTTCGAGACCCTTTCTGATAGGTCAAAAAGCCAATGGATTTTTTAGAACCCCTTGCACGCTCATGTCACGTTGAAGTACTACTGCAAACGAAAGAACTGCAAAATTAGAGCCAATTTCTCATAATTGATTAGTGACCTTATTCTGAAAAATGAATAGTGTGAAACTGTATTAACGCTCACCTCCACCCCAAGGGCTTAGGCCCTGGTAGAGGTGGAGTCGAGCTAGCCCAAATATAGTCTTACAGTTCTTTTCTGATAAACAATACTTACTACTCATACCAACTCGCTCCAAAGTCGCACAACTGTCTTTTGTAAACTTTCAAAATTTTAAAAATATAATTCATTTTAAAAATACCTCTAAACTTTTAAAAAGTTGATATTTAAAAATGACATTATGGTTCGCATAAGATGTAAACTATTTATCTTTCCTCCATCACCTTTCCATTCATTTCCTTCCTCTCCTCTCGGCTTTAATCTATGACTAGTATTTTGTAGCGGTCCAGATCCACCACTAGCAGATATTGTCCTCTTTGGTCTTTCCCTTTCAGGCTTCCTCTCTAGGCTTTAAAACGTGTCTGCCCAAATAGGACAATATTTGCTAGCGGTGGATCTAGGGCGTTACAAATGGTATTAGAGCCAGACACCGGACGATGTGCCAGTAATGATACTAGGCCCAGAAGGGGAGTGGATTTCGTGGCAGTCCCACATCAATTGGAAGAAGGAAAGAGTGTTCTCTCTGGGCTTTTCCTTTTAGGCTTCCTCTCAAAGCTTTAAAACGTGCCTGCCCAGATAGGACAATATTTGCTAACAGTGGATCTGGGGCGTTACAAATGGTATCAGAGGCAGACACCGGACAATGTGCCAGTAATGACACTGGGCCCAGAAGGGGAGTGGATTTCGTGGCGGTCCCACGTGAATTGGAAGAAGGAAAGAGTGCTAGCGAGGACGCTGGGCTTCGAAGGAGGTGGACTGTGATGTCTCACATTGGTTGGGGAAGGAGAACAAAACATCGTAATTTTTTTTAAATTAATATAATTATTATAATTTTTTTTAAAAAAATGTATGATAAAAGTATCTCTCTCTCCTTTGTTTTCCCATATTTTTGTTGAATGGGAAAAAAAAAAAAAAAAAAGAATAAAAAAGGAAAAACTTAAACCCTGCGTCCATCCACTCTCCCTCAGCTGCCAACCTCACGCCGTCACGCCAACTACCGATTGTCTTTTCTTCTCTCTTTCTTCTTTGTTCTTCGATTCAACCATGGCTTAATTGTTGGAATCAGCTCGATTTTGGTTTCAATCCTGCCAAATCCGACGTATTTTGGACGGAAAATCTTGAATCTCTACCTCGCAGCGGGAAGCGCACCTCCGTCTCCTTCTCGAAAGCGAGGCCTTCTCCACCAAATAAAACCCAAGTTTGTTTTGTCGGCCGCTCGTATTCCGTAGGTTAATTTTCTCTTTATTGCTTCATTTGATTGAAGAATGTGCGTGTTGTAGAGTGAAACTCCATCGTTTTGGGACACCCCACATTGTAGGTTGATGGCCGGAAATATTTGCTTGCTTCATATTTTATGTTGCGTAAAATTTTCAATTATTCGATGTTCTTGATTGCTATAGGACTGGGGTTAGGTTCAGTGATGTTTGAGGATTTGATAGCTATGAGTAATTTGGTAAAATTTGAAGAATGTGGTAATTTGATTGGAGTTGAGAAGGTTGTTCTGTGATGTAACTTCTATCCCTTATTATGTATTTGGTATGTTCTTGCAGGTGGTGTTGTAATAGCAGGAATCATCATGTCGCTTTTTAAACTTTCAAGGAATGGAGTTCGGATGATGAAAGAGCTCTTCGTAGGTATGCTGTCCTCCCTCATTTTGAAGTACTTTTATATTGATGGTTTTGTTAGTGCACATCAATTTGGAAGGCATGTATAGGTGGTTCTCTAGATTGTTAGTATGAGGGTCTTTTTACCTTTTGATTGATTCTTCTTCGAGTTTATGAGTTCTTATATGTTTTTTTTCCGCAAATTCCGCTTCCGTAGAACTGAGTATTCAGTACTTTTGTTTGGTTGCCTTCTCTGGAAGAAGATTGATTTATGGAGATATGTATGTGCTCCTAGGATAAAAACAATTTCACTAACCAAAGAGTTGCAGAACCTCGTTCCAGAAGTTGTTATAGTCCCCTTTCTCATCACTTTTCATAGTCATTTCAACATTAACCCGTCCTTTGTACATTAGTATCCCTTGCTTTTCTTCTTTTAATAATCCCTTTCACAAATGACAATTTAACTATAGAATTTTATTATAATTATTATTATTTTTTTATAAGAGTCGATTTCATTGATGAGTGAAATTTACAAGAGGGATGTATAATCCATGATGTTTACAAAAGACCTTCCCAATTTGCAATGAGGGAGGTATAACTATAGGAAGTAAAAATATTAGACAGTTTACACCAAGATATAGCTTGGTAAACAACATTGTCGAAAAGTTTTGTGTAGGTCTGTGTCGTTTCTGCAAATATTCTCTGATTTCTTTCTTTCCACATATTCCAAAAGAAAGCCATGATGAGGTTTTTCCATAATAGGGCTTTTGCGTTCTTGAAAGGGTGGTACGTGAAGGCCATATCTAAAAAATCCTTTACCTCCCTAGGAAATGTGAGATGCCATCCGAATATATTAAGAATCGTTGTCTAGAAATTTTGAGTGTATGTGTGCATAACTATAGAAATCTTAAGAACCTGAATGGTGGAGTTTGGAACAAAGAATCAATTTCGTCATGTTCGTTTAGGACTTGTTCGCTTAAGAAATTACAGAAGTATAAGTCACCAAGAAGTTCAGATTTTTGGAAGAAGGTTCGTATCTTCTTGCTTCATCTTCAAGTACAATTGTTGATGCTTTGATTTGGTGTTTCAGAGATAAATATGATCTTTTGTTCCTTTGTACAATTCTTTTGACATACTTCTTCATTCAATGATGTTACAGCGGTGCAGCATTTTTTTTTTGTTTCTAATTATTCTTTCGATCCTTTTTTTCTCTAACAGGGCAGTCTTTACTGGTGGCTAAAGCAAGTTGCATTCGGGGGCCCTTTTTCCAATACTGGCGACCTCTGGTTGGTTAAATTCTAGGATTGATATAAGTTTGTCCTTCTGGTTTTTAGTTGAATATTCAAACTATTGTGGTTGCTCAAGTTCACAATAAATAGCTGATACTGATATGGGTTAAATCTTAGCTACGTTCGTTTTCGGATCAATATACATTAACTTTTGGGAAAATAATTTTTTTTAACTGCCAACTTTAGCAATTACTCAACTTACATTTATTATTGACCAAAAGGTTAGAGTTTCAAATCCTCATTCCCACGTGTTGTTGGACTCAATTTTTTTTCCCCTTGAATTGGATATGATAAACCCTTTTAATGGCTTGTTCTATGCGTTAGAATTTAATATTAGCTGTGCTTTCTATTGATGATTAAGTGGAATTTATTATCAAAGAAAAAGGATAATCGATGCCCTATTGGGACTTTTTCATTCTTTTGGGGTCTTCCTGTGCTTCTATCTCTAGTTTAGTTTGTAAATTACTTTTTCTTTCGTCAGTGTTAATCGGGGATTATTTTTGCTAACATTTGGGTTTCTGGTGGCCTTTCTTTTTGTACTTACCATTAATCAACAAGTGGGTTGCTATAAGGAAAGAAATATTAATCATTTCATCTTAATTGGATGTTGGAAACTACTTCAGATTAAATACTCTTAGAATTGTGAGAAAGAATACTGTGAAATTTATAATTTAATAAAGTATATGTTACTTCCAAAATTTGTGGTAAATGTTTGTCTTTAAACACTTTCTTCTTCTTCAGTCATAGTTAAGTATAAATTGGCAGTATCTAGCCTATAGCTTCTGGAGTTAAATTGAATTTAGACAGAAAACTAATAACAATAAAGGATTCTTTAGCTATTGAATAAGATATGCGTGCACTGGAGGTGAGTAATTGTAGAACCTCCCTTTTCTTTTCCAGCCACAAGCACAAGTTCAGGTGCTTCAAGGTTTGAAATGGCAGGGGCAGCGTCTGTATTCTACCTCAGGTCCTCAGAATAGCTGTATTGAAGAGAGTGAGCCAGAAACGTAAGTTCTTTAGCTCTTAATTCTACACATATACGAGAAGATTTTGATGCATAAATCACTATCATTGATTAAAATCATGTGTAGGTTGCACTGTGCATGATATGGGTATGACCCATGTGGCTTTGAAACATTGATTCTGTTCTAGTTTTTGTGCCTTTCTCTCAGATAGTAGATAATAACCCAGTTGATTCATCCCTCATTGCTGATACAGGGTTGATAATAGAGTCTCTTGGAAGTATTTTAGATTTACCAAACATATTTGTGGCTCTTCAGAAGCATCTTTTTAGTTTTTACATTAATGCCACTTCTTCGTACTTTTTGGAGGACCAATATCAATGCTTGTGTAAAACCTTGTAAGATTTTATGTATATATAGTATATAATTGGGGTTTTCCTTTTTCTCCCCCCAATATGATACAATTGATTTTCTTTTTGGTCCAAAATCTATAGCCATGAGAATACTCTTAAGAAAATCTTAGTGAACCTTATTGTAAGCCTTCTCAGTGTCGAACTTGTAGACAATTCTCTTCCTCTTCTTAAATTTTCAGTTTCTTGAAAAAATCTATTCTTTGGCCTTCAATAATAGTGTGCTGACATCCCAAGTAAAAACATCATCCAAAAGATTTTCCTCTGTGGTCTGCATTTGAATTATTCTGTTGATTCTTCTCTACCAGAATCTGTGATTTGCAGGATATCTGTCACATTCGTCCTTAAAGATGGAGAGGAACAGCAAATTAGTGTTCCCATTGGAATGTCTATGTTAGAAGCTGCTCATCTAAATGATATAGAACTTGAAGGTAAGGAGTTTGAAAGCTGAAGCATTGCCCTCCTTTTTCTCATGATTTCAGCATTTCTTTTACGTAGCTTAGATAGATTATTGCATCCTGGCTCTTGAGTTTCTTCTTCACTAGCACTGTTTCACTCTTATCCCAGGAGCATGTGAAGGTTCATTAGCTTGTTCAACTTGTCATCTTATTGTGATGGTACGTTGCATTCTCTCTCTCTCTATTTCTCTCTCTTTTTTTTTTTCTAGACTGGAATTTTGTCTAAAATCTGGTTAAATCATATCACAGGATATGGGCTACTACAATAAACTAGAAGAACCAGTGGATGAGGAGAACGACATGTTGGATCTGGCGTTCGGGCTTACAGAAACGTAGGTTCCTTGTGCATAAATTTGTGATTTGTTTCTATGTATCCGTTGATCTTTGGAGTATACACCATTTATTTATTTTCACCAAAAGTTTTAATTCCACCCCTGATGCCTTCACAAATTTCGATCGAATTATTCAATAACACTGTTGAAATTAAATAACAAAAAGCTGCAAACTCATGAAATAACATCCATCTCACTGGAGTACTTTTTTGTATCCTTCATAGTTCTTATTTTGGTCTTTGATTTATAGTTTGGTTCAGCTTGTTTTGACTCGTAGTTTGGTTTGGTTATGTTTTGTTTATTTCTTTTGAGTGAAAAGTTGTATCTTCTTCTAAAAACAAAAAATAGCAATAGTGTTATTGGGTCGAAATTGCAAAAAGTTGGGAATGTAGAGAATCAAATCAAAAGATTCGAAATTTTGAAAAAGGATTGACTATGCTTCCGAAGATCAAATGATATATGAACCTATTTTCATAGGTATTAACTTTTTGTTGGGATTCTACAGGTCTCGTCTGGGATGTCAAGTAATTGCAAAACCTGAACTTGATGGAATTCGTTTAGCCATTCCTTCAGCTACCAGAAACTTTGCTGTTGATGGCTATACTCCAAAACCACACTAAGCATTTTGCCACAATGAGAGAGGATCAATCAAGGTTTTAACCCATTAGTTTTGCCTCATGAGATAATTTATCTCTGCTTTCATGGTTCAAAGTATGTTAGAAACTGTTCTGAGAATTGGTTAAATTTATCTTCTATTCTTTTTGAAAATGCATCTGATATGTGATAATCAAATTCCATAAAGAAAAAAGAGACATTTACAACTTTTATCAAGCTTTTAAGTTCACTTTATGAACGTTCAGTTCAGCTCAGGTCAATAATTTACTTGAAAGTTCTTGGTGATCCTCTATTTATTTCTCTTGTTCTTGGTTCATGCAGTTTCTATTTAAATCTCTTGTTCTTTCCCAATCTCTATTAGGGTGGGGGCATCGGCCTGTGGGCGTTCGATCGATCTCGATCACAGGCTATGTTCGATTGGGAATCTAGATATCCATGTTTGTAAGAATCTTATTTCTATGTAAGAGATGGTCAATTCCCTTATAGTTCTGTATTTTTTGGAGTCTTTTATGCCTTTCTTTTTGCACCGTATAATAACAATTGTATCGATTGATATTAGCGTTGTGGGCACGAGCCTAGCATAGCAATGACTTTTGATGATAGTGTCAAAGCGAGTTCTTATTGAGAAAAACTTCGAGTAATTTTGAATAATTATTTGTTGAATTAATAATTTCAATTAAGTAACTACAATTTTGTTAAAATTTTTGAATTTAAGTTTATCATCGGCCAAGTTTAACATTTAGATTTACCCATATTGATGATTCATGCATTATTCTTTCCAAAATTACTTTCAATGATGAAAAATTTACTTTATTATCTGCAAACTCAAGCGTTTACAAGTTTCAGTAAATTTACGCACACAGTGCTAATTAAAAAGACATCTCTTACAAGGTTCCAAAATTTCTTATGAGGTAAATCTAGTAAACGGTAGTATATGTCAACAGATTATTCTTTCACCTATTCAAAGACTCCAAACCAAAATCTTCAGAATAGTACACATTTTCGCCATCATCGCCTAGTTATCGGTTGGAGGTCTTCAGTACGGTATATATTAAATCATTTGCTATGCCTTTTATCGAGAACCCGACCTATGTGTGTACTCTGCAACTAACTGAGAAAATGAGGATGACTTATCTTCTAGCAATCTTGTAGGGGTGTCATACTCTTCAATGAGTCCTGCATGACGAGTAAGAGAAATCAAGTTGTGGATCGACAAGTTAAATAGTTCGATGGACTATATCAATATCGATACGAACCGTGACTTAGAAGCAAAACCATGTCACTGTGAAGGACAGAAGTTATCCGATGTGCAATCGTAATGACTGTACAGTCAGAAAAATGTTGTTGGAGAGTCTGTTGAATCAAGTTGTCTGTAGCTGTATCGACCGATGCAGTTGCTTCGTCAAGGACCAGCACCTTACTCTTCTTAAGCAGCACCCGACCGAGGCACACGAGCTGCCTCTGACCCATGCTCCAGTTCTCTCCATTCTCAGTAACTGCATTGTATGCATAAAGTGAATGAGTTTCAATAACTTCATCAATTCATTGAAACTTTCACCAGATTATCCATAAATATACCTGCAGAATCCAACTTCCCCTCCTTTTTTCTCACTTCATCTCCCAGTTGGCACTTATCCAATGCCTGATGCATCAATGAAATGTTTGCATTCATGAGAGGGGGAAAAGAAAACACAAAACAAAAGAGATTCCATGTAAAGAAATGATTAGAAGAGGAAACAAAGATACCTCCCAAATGTCCTCGTCTGCATATTCTTCAAGTGGATCGAGGTTGCTCCGCACGGTGCCTTCAAACATGGTTGGATCCTGCGGGATGATACTGAGTTTCGACCGCAAATCATGAAGTCCGATCGTCGTTATGTCGATGTTATCGATCACAATATGACCTGCTACAGGATCAACTATTCGGAAAAGTGTCTGTATTAGAGTTGATTTGCCACTTCCTGTTCTCCCAACAATGCCAGTTTTCTTCCCTCCTGGGAAAGTACACGTAATACCGCGCAACACAAGAGGCAGTTGCGGTGCGTAACGAACCTACACGACATTGAACAATAATCAGCAAAAGTCGAAGAAAAATCACAGGCGTCATTTGAAAGTACCTGCAGATCATGAAGTTCAACTTCTCCAAAGGCTGGCCAGCTACTATCTGGTCGGTTTTCCTCAATGACTAAAGGTGGCTCACTAGGAATTGAAGTATATTGAAATATTCTCTCAACCGAAATGATTTTGTTCTCCATACTACAAAGGTTCCATATTAGCCAAGCTTGCAACATATTTAGGTTCAGTCCATATGTTACTGACAAGCCAGCAACGCCTTCAGTGTACAGAGCAAAAAGGATTAGACTATTGGAGAGGGAATGTTTTTTTGAAGATCGACCAAAGTGAAGAACGTACCTGGATCAATGACTCCCACAGGGATAGATATTAAGAAAATCAAGGAGGAGGCAAATGTAATGGACGACAACATATCGAGACGGAAGCAGAGCCATTCCATCGCTGCAGAGTTATGGAACTTGGGACGAGAATATGCATCGGTCAGTTTCATATTGGTGTCCTGGAATCTGGACTCTTGTTCAAAGCTCCTAATAGTTGTTGATCCAGAAATGGTTTCGGAGAAAAGTTGTATAACTGGAGCTTTGCATACTCCGATCAACCGTGCCAGCTCTCGTGCTGCTGAAATGTAATATTGCTGCATAAAAAAAGCTCAATGTAATGTAGCTGCTGCATAGTTAAACATTATGCAACTTTGTTATCAAGACAAGGTGGGAAGGTATACCTCATACCAGATGCACAGAGCCATCACAGGGATAAAGATAATGAAAACCTGCCATGCAACTTGAGACATTACAGCAATAATTCCCACGAGCTGAATCGCATTGAAGCAGAAGGCCCCAACTCGGAAAGGTATATCCAAATCAATGGCACTTTGGTCTGTGGAGGCCTGAAAATAACGAACAGTATTTATAAACAATGATTACGAGTTTCAAGTGACTAATTGAAGAGCATCATTGTAACGGCCGAAGCCCATCGCTAGCAGATATCGTCCCCTTTGGGCTTTCCCTTTTGGACTTCCCCTTAAGATTTTTAAAACACGTTTACTAGGGAGAGAGAATGTTTTGTTCTCCTCCCCAATCGATGTGGAATCTCACAATCATGAATACAAATTCACTCACCCTATTGAGAATTCTTCCACTGGGAGTAGAATCGAAGAACGACATGGGAGCTCGGAAGATGCTCGTGTTCATTTTAACGAAGAGTTCAGTTGCTGCTTTAAAACCAGCTGTCACGAGAAGGGTCGATCTCATGAGGATACACAAAGAGCTTCCAAAGGCCAACGCAACGTAGACGATGATCAATCGAGAAGTGGAAACAGGAGACTCCATATCCTTCGAAACAGGAGTAGCCCATGCCATCCAATAATTACTTCCAATTTGAAGAATCTGAAAGAGAATCTGACCAAGCAATATAAGAGGCGCAAGAGCTCCACCATAAGCAGAAGTGATATATTTCCAGTAAACTGAGAACCCAACACTTCCTTTCTCTCTCTCTTCTGCTTGTACAAGCTGCCCTTTTGACTTAGTGGCATCAACAGCCTTCCCATCTTGTATGTCTCTTTTGTCTTCCTCATGAGTAATGCCATTGGTACTAAGCATAGACCCATCTTCCTTGCTAGCAGAAGCTCCAACAGAATTAATGGCTGATAATGCTTCCTCATGTGCACCAACGAGTGCCATAAAGTCGGTTCCAGAACGAAGAATTTCATCGTACTTTCCAGCTTGAGTGATCTTTCCATCTTTCATTACCTGATAGTAATGAATCTCCAAAGCTCAGATGTAAAAGAAGTACAAGGAGCATAAGGGAAAGCAAAGGTAAAAATCCTCAACTACTTACCAAGATAAGATCTGCAGCAGGTAAGAATTCTACTTGATGAGTTACATAAATGACTGTTTTTGAACTCAGAACACCAAGCAGACATTCCTATCAGAAAAATAACGCACAAGTGATTATTGTATATACACGGATCGAGTTCTAACGATAGTATATAACTCGACACGAGGAGAACTAAATAGGAAAAAGAAATTACCTTGAAGAGGTGTGAACCTGTATGAGCATCAACTGCACTAAAAGGATCATCAAACAAGTAAATATCAGCATCTTGGTATAAGGCACGAGCAATTTGGATTCTTTGCTTCTGTCCACCACTTAAATTGATTCCTCTTTCTCCTATTACCGTCTGGTCGCCAAATGCAAGAATTTCGAGGTCCTTTTCTAGACAACATGCTTCAAGAACCGTTTTGTACCTTTCTCTGTTCATCTCTTTGCTAAAGAGTATGTTCTCTTCAATCTTCCCACTCTGTATCCATGGCGACTGAGCTACGTAGGCCTTAGTCCCGCACACCGTCAGGTTCCCAGACATTTTAGGTATCTCCCCCAGGATGCATGATAGCAAGCTGGACTTGCCTGAGCCTACAGAACCACAAACAGCAACTCTCATGCCATGTTCCACTTTGAAATTGATATCACGCAATGTCAAATTTGACGAAGACGAATCCCAAGAAAAGCTTCCATTGACAATCTCAACTGCTGTAGTAGAACTACCACTTGGAAGCCTCTCTACAATATCAGACTGCAAGTCGTCAAGACGAAGGAATGACACTATTCTATCAAGTGAAACTTTGGTTTGGACCACCATTGATATTGTGTCAGGAAGATTGTAAATTGGTTCTTGAAGAATCCGAAATGTTGCAAGGGCAGATAACACTTTTCCTGATTCTAATGGGATCCCCAGAAGCATACAAGTCCCGAAAGTGACCACCGACACGAACGTCGGGGCACCCCAAAAGACGAACGTGGTAACCGACAATGTATAAAGAAACCTCTTTAACCATCCCGCCTCAATGTTTCTAAGTTCTGATATCTTAGATAGAAACTTCATTTCCCATCCTTGAAGCTTAAGAATCCTCATATTCCTCAAGATTTCAGATGTTGCCTTCATCCTAGCGTCTTTTGATTCCATAATCTTGTCCTGAAACTTCTCCTGCAACTTTCCCAATGGAACATTTATCAACATAATAGCTATGGTTGCAACAAAAGCAGCAATTGAAGCGAGACCAAGATTCTTATACAAAACCAACAGGGCCAGTACAACTTGAAAAACCACCAGCCAAACATCATGCATATACCAACTGAAGTCACCGACCCTCTCCGCATCTACA